GGGGGGAAGGAAGACGGGAAGAAACAGGGGAAGACGAGGGGCGGGGAATTCGGGGAAGAAGAGCCCCAGGGGGAATAAGCCAGGGACGAAGATGGGATGAAACGCGAGACGGAAGGGAGGAAGAAGGCGCGGGGAATGTGGGAAGGAGGAGAAAATGGCAAGGAGAACAAGATGGCAAGTAGGAGGAGGGGGAGAAGATGGAAGGAGGAGGAACTTCAAGATGGTAAGGAGCTGGAGTAGTGGGGGAAGGAGAGGGGAAGAAGAGGATGAAGAAGATGACATGGCAAGGTTTGGTGTAAATGTGTGAGGAGGAGGAAGGAAGAACATGGCAACGAGCAAGAGGAGGCATGGAGGAACGCGGGGGGAACCTGGGGGGGAAGGAACAGGGGAAGGCGAGGGGTGGGGGATTCGGGGAAGAAGAACCTCAGGGGGAAGAAGGCGGGGTCGAAAATGGGATGAAACGAGGGACGGAAAGGAGGGAGAAGGCGAGGACGCGGATGGGATGGAACGCGGGACGGAAAGGAGGGAGAAGGCGCGGGGAATGTGCGAAGGAGGAGAAGATGGCAGGAAGAAGAAGATGACAAGTACGAAACGGAAAGGGGAGGGAGGAGTAAAATGGTAAGGAGCTGGACTAGTAGCAGAAGGAGACGGGAAGAGGAGGAGTAAGAAGATAACATGGCAAGGTTTTGTGTGTATGTGTGAGGAGGAGGAAGGAAGAACATGGCAAGGAGGAAGATGAGGCATGGAGGAGCCGGAGGATACAGGCAAAACATTCCTCCTCAATCCCTACATTCATGCAAGGAAGAGGACCTTTTTGTTGTCGTTCTTGCCTGGACTCAAGATTCTAGGCCTACATTAGCCTTTGCTGAGGAGGAGGACGATGCAAAGAAGATGGATGATATAGGCCTACATTAGCCTTTGCAAATGACACGAACGAAACAAGTGAGCCAGGTTACAAATACAGTCCCACATCCCTAGATCCAGGTAAGCAACAAGAAGAAATGAGAAAGACACGTCCTTCAAGTGTTTTTGTTCTTAGACAAAAATTCCACCTCGAGCACTACATGTTTTTCTCCCCCGACCACTCTAAGTTCTTCTCAGACCTTTAAAAAACTGTATTTTTCATTTCGTTGTCATTGTTATTTGAATCGGAATTATAGTGCTATATCTTTAACCTTGGTTGTGGAGCAAGAACATGGAAAGATGGGTAAGGATACATACCTACATCTTTCTAACAAAATGACAGAATTACAAGAAATTTGGCAACTTAATAATAAAACCATAAATCTGTCCTGCTTCGGTCCTCGAAGGAGTGTATTTCTTATTTATTTGTAATCCAAGTTTATAGCATTATACTTTTAAAAATAGCAGTTTAAGATTAACATAAAATTCGTGAAAACCGAACAAAAAAAATTGTTAGGTTTACACGATATTTTTTAAAGATTCAGATAATACATTTTTAAGGCCTCCTACATGAACAACATTTTATGTGAAGTAAATTAACCGCAAAAAATGAATAAAAAAATACTTTTTTAAAACTACTAGAAGTGGTGAGGAGAGAAGCAAGTCGTTTTATAAAAAATCACCACCTTGCAAAGCAGCGTTTGTTCAAACATCAAAATATCCCACTTTTTTGTTTATTTAAAAAAATCAAATTTAAAGTTCTATAAAGTATGTAGTACGATGAACCTATTTGGGGGTTTCCCAAACATGCATATATATTCTCCTATTCATGAATATATTATGTTGGACATGTTGTCTCATACATGGAAGAATATATTATTTTTTTGTATTTTTTAAATTTTTTTATTGAAATATTTTTCCATTTTTTATTTTAAATCGTTGTTGGCTAAGAATTTGAAGATGTCCCTGAGGCAAAAGTTGTTTGAATTCTTTTTTTACATAACATATATTTTTTTACAAGGATTTTACAATAAACTTTAAAATAGATTATATTAATTTATAGTTCTATAAATTAGTTTTCACAGAACTTGGTTTTTACCAAACTGTTGAAAACGACTTATAGTTCTATAAATGAGTATTCACTGAAACTGTTTTTTTTAACGTCTTTCAAGTTCGCCTTGCAGTCTTTAGTAATTGATTGTTTGAGCTATGCTTTTTGTCAATCTACTGAAAACGACTTATAGTCCTATAACATGTTTTTTTATTGGAAAGGGTTTTCTTGCCCATTTTGAGAATCACTAGAGTTTTTGCCCATTTTTTTGCCTCCTTTCTCGGAAAACAATTAAAAACACTCTCTTTAATGTGTCCAAAATAAGAATTTGACTTTTATTTTTTCATTCTATAAAAAATGTTAGGTTTTGTGGTTTTGTTAGGTTTTCACGAATTCAGTGTTGATTTGGAAAAACATGCAAATCTTAAGAGTTATTCTTACAGCGAAATTATCAAATACATTTTTTTTTTATTTTTTTTTTTTTCTTTTCTCTCTCTCTCTTTCTCTCTCTGTTTGTCTCTCTCTCTCTCTCTCTCTCTCTCTCTCTCTTTCCATGTTTGTAAAATTGTTTATTCGATACTCCTGACGATCTACACTGGAACCACAGTCATTAAGCAACTACCACGCTGCTCGACGCTGCTTTCTCTCTCTCTCTGTTTCTATCTGTATCTTTGCTCTTTGAGTCACGGGGACGCTCAACGATGCTCGTCCTCTTTGAAATTTTTTTTTGCCGCTCCCGACCTTGAGGAGTCTTTCTCATAATTCAGAAATCTTGTAGCGGGGTCGTCCAAATTTTCCTGGTTTGGTCTCCAAGAAGTGAAATTCCGTATTCAACCCGTAAGCGGGCGCTTGGCGATCAATATTGTTTGTTTTACCGGGTCGTGGCTCTCCGAAATTTAGTCGCTAGCTCTCTAAAATTTTAATTTTCGAGACGACCGTTGGTGGAAAATCTAAATTTTAACGATGTTCTTGACGACGATCCCAGTGGTTGGACGGTCGAAATTATTTGTTTTGGCGGGAGTCTGGGCTCTCCGAATTTTTGTCGCTAACGGTTCGAAAATTACACTTTTGCAAAAACCTTCGCGGGAAATTGACAACTTTTAAAGATATTCTTTACGGGGATCCCAGTAGTTGGGGATGGGTTGTGGCTTTCCGAAATTTGGTCACTAGCTCTCTAAAATTTCAATTTTCGAGACGACCGTTGGTGGAAAAACTAAATTTTAACGATGTTCTTGACAACGATCTCAGTGGCTGAGCGGTCGAAATTATTTGTTTTGGCGGGAGGTCGGATTCTCCGAATTTTTGTCCCTAACGGTCTAAAAATTGCACTTTTGCAAAAACCTTGGCGGGAAATTGACAACTTTTAAAGACATTCTTTACGGGGATCTCAGTCGCTACCGGCTCAAAATTTGTACTTCTTCAAAATCCGTTGGCGGAAAATCCAAAATTGCGAATGATGATCTTGACGTGGGTCGCAGTAGTGGGTATCCTCATTTTATTTCGCCCGTTAGCGACACTCTTCCGGCCGTCCTCTGACACACTTTCTCACGCTAACACCGAGTCTTTTCTTTTGTAGGTAACGCCATCGTCATTTCTAAATGCCAGATAGGTTGTCGTATCATATCTTCCATGTCTAAGAAGTCTAGGCCCGTTAGCGACGCTCTTCCAGCCGTCCTCCGGCACACTTTCTCTCGCTAACACCGAGTTTTCTCTTTTGTAGGTGACGCCATCGTCATTTCTAGATGCCAGATAGGTTGTCGTATTATTCTTAAACCGAAAGATGTAGTCAGAGTACTCACAAGATTAACCCCATGAGATGGTTTCCAGACCTTTCTCAATGTAAGAAGAGTGTTGATGCCAAGAGTGTCAAGACGAAGAATAGCAGGTGGTTTCCAGATCTGCGTCAATGTTGTACACGCGGAGGCGAGAAGCAGAACCCTCTACCGAAGCTCAGTGCAACTGGTGAGAGGACCACCAATGTTTGTTTGTTTCCGAAGCGCCCGCGATCGAACACGACAACAAGAAAGGTTATTGCGCCATGCCGAGCCACAAACACAGTGATGGGTCTCTGCGCAACTGGCAAAACGGGGAGTACAATCCAGATAGAGCGCCCAGGGAAGCGGCAGTGCCCGAACGTTGAAGGCGAACAATCCAGAGAGAGAGACGATGTACAGGACATGAGCGAGAACTTTGTTGTGAAAGAAACGCTCTACGACAGCGTTGCGCAAGAATTGCGTGATAACGGCACTGAGGAAGTGGAACCCAGTGACGACGATGATGAGGAGGGTGAATCGAGCGACGACGATGAGGAGGAGGAGGAAACGAGCAAGGATGCCGATTCAGAAGACACAGACTCTGAGGATGATGAAGGGAAGAACGAGTCGGGAATTGATGTCGACATGTTCAAGAAGAGTCTATCTGGAAAACTTTTAGGAGAAGCGAAGCAGATAATAGCACAGGAGGTGAGAAGAGGACTGTACAGCAAATCAAGCAAGAGTGAGAAACCTCCTTACAACTTGGGAAAGCGCTGCAGGAACGCACGTGTGTACAACAAGAAAGTTAACTACCACGTGAACATGAAGAATGTCGAACTAGTTCTGAAGGAAGATTGCTGCAAGGCCAACTGTTACAAGAAGTTCACGGCGGTAGATGTTTTCTACAAGCGCGAAGAATTTTGGGCGATGAAACAACCTGAGTAACTGAACTTCTTTCTCGCAAAGATGAGGGTTGCATCGTACTTTTCGGATGAGGGAGATTTAGAGGTGTTAAGGGTGACGTTCAACGACGTAAAGGTTTGCACAAAAGCGTGGGGAAAGCTGTACAGATGCTCGGCTACACGTGTTGCAAAGATACGCAAAGAATTCAGAGAAGGAATGGTGCTGTACGAGCATGCAAACAAAGGATCAGTTGGATTATCTGCTTCATCACAGCAAATTCTCGCCTGGTTGCATGAATATTTCCGATACAATACAGAGAGTATGCCAAACAGCAACCAGTTTCATCTTTCAGATAATCTCCGGCGCAGAGACGTGTACGACTTCTTCAAGCGAGACTGCAAAGAGCTGTACACGAATAAGACTCTTCCTTCCCGTTCCAGATTTATGACCATTTGGAGGGTTCACTGCCCAAAAGTTCTTATTCCTGCATTGAAGAGGTTGTCGGTCTGTTCCACATGTCTGAAATTCAAGACAAGCCGTTCACAGGCAACAAGTGCGTTCGAACGAGGTAATGACATAACCTCAGTGCTTATTTTCTCTCCCCCTGTCTTCATGACCCTTCTTCTCTCTCTCTCTCTCTCTCTCTCTCTCTCTCTCTCTCTCTCTCTCTCTCTCTCTCTCTCTGTTCATTCTTCGATGTTTGCCATAGCGCGACTGATTGTTTTGAATTATATCCGTTTAAGTTGTTTTTGCAGAAGGTAGAGGCTGTGACTTGCACATTTATGGAAGGATTCTCATGGAACTCTTCTTCGTCTTTTTTATTTCTTCTTCTTCTTCCTCTCTCTCTCTCTCCCTCTCTCTCTCTCTCTCTCTCTCTCTTTCTCGCTAAATGTTCTTCGTGTAGAAAGAAAAATCAATCTTGTGTCAGCGCAAACTGGGAAGGATTCTTATGAAAGTAGTAAGTTTGGTAAAGAAATAGTTAAACGTCTTCTCTCTGTCTCAGTTATAGCCCTATAACACTTTGTCTCTTATTCGTCTTCGACTTTTCAGAGTTAAAGCCATTTACCACTTTATCTAATAATCGTCTTCGTGACGCCTGGGTTGCCTTCCCCAAACTCGTTCAGTCAATCAAAACATAAATTTTGGGGAAGAATGAATTGAAGATTCTACGACGTTTGTGGACTTACTTTTCTGAGTTATAGCCCTATAACACTTTGTCTAATAATCGTCTTCGACTCCTCAGAGTAAAAACCCTTTAACATTTTATCTCTTAGCCGTCTTCGATTTTAAAGCCCTTGTTATTAGTGACGTCTATGTCGCCTTGCCCAAACTTCGAATGTTATGATGCACGATACTTGTGGACTGACTTTCCTGAGTTAAAGCCCTATAACACTTTGTCTAATCATTGCTTTCGATTTTAAGGCCCTTCATCGCGATTTGTCTCTTTTCATTAACATGTTTTAACAAAGTAACCGCTTGTTTTGTTATTTGCGTAGAAGTGTTTGGCCAAGCACTAGAGAAGCACCGGTTAATGCAAGCAGAAGAGAGACAAAAACTCAGTAAGCATCGCCACAAGGCTTCAAGTCATCCGTCTGACTATGTCGAAATGATCATTGATGGGATGGATCAGAGCAAGACTATACCGCCACACTTCACTAGGGTTCCAAAGAATTCGAAACTAAAAGAAGGGAACTTTGTGAAAGTTCACGTGGTTGGGGCTAAGGTGCTAGGACTCTCATTGAACGCCTCTGCAACTGTTTTGTTTGACAACTTCAAATCTGATTCTAATTGCATGCTAACTGTTCTTCATCGTCAGATTTCTCAACTTCCTGTACCATTTCTGAGAGTTCTGTATCTTACATTTGATAACACTTCGAAAGAGAACAAGAACCAATTTGTGTTGTCATATCTCGTGTTCTTGGTGAAAATGAGAGTGTTTAGTAAAGTTAAACTTTCTTCTTGTAGGTCACACGCACGAGGACATCGACCAGATGTTCAGCTGTTTCTCGAGAAAGCTGGCTGCACATGGTGTGTTCGATCTTCCTGAGTTGCAACACGTGACTAGGGAGTCGTACAAGGTAGAACAAGATCATGGCGTGCACGTTGAGGAGATGACGGAAACAATGAACTAGAAGTTGTACGTTCAGGATCATCTGCATAATGTCAATGATATTAGCTTCAACCAACATTTCCGAATCAAGCGCAACGACAACGGGGAGGTGCGCATTTGGAGCAAGCAATATCATAACTCGCAGTGGCAGCCGAACGACAGAGAAGGTTTGGACATCTTCAAGTCAGAGCCAACAGGACAAGTTCAAGCTTCGCCAAAGCATGCAATCCGATCTTTGGAAGCAAGATATCGACTTACTTGTCGGGGTGAGGACGAGAGGCGTAATAAGGTCGTCAGCAGTGAAGGTCATGTCCGTAATCGAAAAGCGGGAGGATCTTCGAAATTCAAGGTTGACGATGATGTACTTTCCATCGCCGCCTTGAAAGCCAACGTACATGCCCTGTCGCATTACGCTCAACCCCATAACATTGAATGGTGGAATAAGTTTATAACAACGCAGGAAATTCCCGACCTTGAGGACACAAACCTCAAAGAGCCTTTCGCGTGGCCCTCTGTAACAGTTGATGTCAGCAGAGCAGGTGAAGAAGTTCCACCAACCGCTAACGGCTTTGACCAACGCTGGGATGATTTTTTCCCTCCTGAGAGACCCATCTATATCGGCGCACGAAAAAGCAGACAGTTTCAAGAGGACAGAGACGGAAAGTACGACGATCTCGAGGTCAACACTTTCATCGCATTACGAGCTTGTTCGGGGCAGGAAGAGAGAGCCAAACCTTACCACATTGGCAAGGTTGTCGAGCAGCTAGTAGGTAAACGATTCAAAGTTGCTTGGTTTGCACAACGTAAGAAAGGAGAGGGTTACTATCCTCAGTTCAAGACAAATCCTCAAGGAAAGACTACGAGAGAGCCTTCCGAGGACGTCTATGACTGGAGCTGCGGCGTTCTTTGTTACAACTTCCAACTGAAGACAAACAGGACCCTCTTCTCGCAGACCAGACAAAAGATCTCTGAGATGATGAATTCCATGGCAACGGAGGATGTCGACTAGGAAGACCTTCTAGGAACCGATTGCTTCGGAGGTTGACAAAGTGTCATCGAGATCGAGGTCATTTCTTCTTTCGCATTAGATCAGGTTTCCTTTTGTCGCTGTTCAACAGATTATCGGAGTTTAGTCGTAAGCGGCTTGTAAATTCTTGTAAATATGTACAACAGTAGGTTGCACTTCGCAGCCAGGCACATTGTAGGGCCAAACCCCGGTAAACTTTCGAGCCTTTGTCGACCCCACTGCGGGTCCCAGTTGGCTCGGCCCGCCCACACTCATGCTCCGGGCGCAGGCCATTCGTCCTAAGGTCACCCCCACCTAGTGCTTTGAAATGGATGGGGGTGGGCCATCGCGCGAGAGAGCTTTGACATTGGGGATGTAGCCCATCCCTCACGCCGGGTGGTAGTCTCGCTGGTCGTTCCGCAATGCTGATTTTTTTTTACTCTTTATTGTGTTCTCAAGTAACTGGTTCTTCCAATACGCAGGCAGTCCAGGGGTTCTTTGAGCCTTTCTCTTCTCTTGTGCGTAGGCTAAGCGTCATCCTTAGGCCACACACTATTTCCCTAAGCATTTTGGCTATATGGCGTCATCCGGGTGCGGTGGGGCCGTCCTCCCCCTCACCTCTAAGCATCCATCGGGTCTCTCAATTTGCTTCCCACCTTATTGAAGTAGGCCCCTTAGTCTTTTCGGGGTCCTCATATGCATGCACACACAACATCACTTTTTCCTTGGCATGACAGCACTCTCATTTGCACCCTAAACGCACAAGTCATATCCATGGGGTAGTTCTATGTCAAGGGTCCCATAGCCCCTACACCCTCTTCCCTTTCCCTCTTGATGCCCGGTTCCACTTGCCCCTATCCTGCTCAAGGCATCTTTATCCATCACTTACCTACACAATCCCACACAAACAAGAAGATCCATACAATCCCCCATCGGGGGTCAACACATAGCCCTTCCCACATGCCTATTCTTTCAAGTTATTTGGCTGCTCATTGTTCTCTCTTGTTGTTCAATCAGCCCATTCTCTTCTCATAGTCATGCAGTCAGGGAGATGGTTGAGTCAAACTAACCTCACTTTCAACTTATGCTTTCTTTCGGATTCCGCCTCTCCCACTTCCTTTTTTGGACGTCCTCTCTCTTGCCTTCTTGGTGGCACAAGGGACCGGCTACCCCCCCCTTGTCCTCTTTCTACACCAAGTGAGGTCTGATTTCGTTCTCCGCTCGTGCCCTGGCAATGTTTTCCAGGTGAGGGGGGAGAAGGGTTAGTCATATGCTAAGTGAGGGGAAGGGAGAGAGAGGGTCAGATGATGATGCGAGAGAGAGAGAGGGGAAGAGAAAGAGAGAGAAAAGGCAAGGGGGGGAAAGGAGAGAGGGGGAAAGAGGGGGAGAGAGAGAGAAGGGAAAG